TGGGAAACTGAACAAAATCCTCAGCCACTGTTTAAGTATCTCTCTAGGAGACTCACAGGCAGAAAACCCAGATCTCCAATCCCAAGGTCAGAAAGTTTGGCAAGTAGCAACTCTAGGGACATCATATACCTTTTCCTTCCTGCCTAAGACAAGAGGACTTTTATCTGCTTAGGGAAAGAAGAGAAACAGCAACCAGTCAGAGCAGAAGTCCCATGCAAATCACAAGCAAAGAGCAAGGTGAACACCTTGTGCCAGATTTAGGCCTCAGGCCTAGGGGTTGTGAAATTGTCACCTGGGTAGGGGGAAGCTAAGCCACCAACAGTCTGAACAGATGTGGGACTGCTAGTTATCAAAAGCAAACCACACACCACCCGCAAATGGTAAACGGCTTCCTTCACCCTTTGCCTCCTAAGCCTCAGGCCAAAAGACTGAAGGCTCCGAGGTTTCCTTTATAAATTTGCCTAATACAGCAATAGGTCTGTAGCAAAGATAATATTTTCTCAGAAGACGAAGTTGATTTTTTTTTTAACAAAATGACGCCATTAGAGATAAATACTTTGGAGTGAAATTGCATTTTTAAATCTGAAAGCATAGCAAAATGGGCAGAGAGCAGGACTGGAAGGCAGAAAGCATGGGTGTATGAGCCTGGTGAGCAAGTCACTTAATTTTTCCATGTCCCTAGACAACTCCTTCCACAGCTAGGTGGTATAGTGGATAAAGCACCAGGCACGGAGTCACGAAAAGCTGAGTTCAAATACAAACTCAGACACTTACTAGCTGTGTGACCCTGGACAAGTCACTTAAACCTGTTTGCCTCAGTTTCCTCATCTGTAAAATGAGCTGGAGAAGGAAATGGCAAACCACTCCAGTATCTTTGCCAAGAAAATCCCAAATGGAGTCACAAAGAGTCAGACACGACTGAAACAACTGAACAAAAATAACACAACTCCCTAAGACTGCAACTTGTAGAGAAGGTGCCTACCTGCATTTGTACAGGGAATTTCTTGACGCAGGAGCTCCTTATACCAATAAAATCACAGGTCCAGTGCAGATATCTATCCCTTCAAGCTTCTTTTGAAGTAGGGCAGAATTCCAGAGAAGGGGAGGGAGGGAAAACACACAAATGGGAAGCTAACACTTTTTCTGAAAAAAAACTTTAAGTACTCAGAGGTTCATATCCTTTATTTATTTCCATGTCATTATAAAGGAGTTATTCACTTTTGTTTTTATAAAGGGCACTTTATAAGTGCTTTGGTTTCATAGATATCTGTGGATATCTATGTGCTGCTAATCACAAAAGATCAACTCCATCCTCCAAAATAAACGTAGCTGTTTCAGAAATTTGTCCACTACAGACCTAACTCTGCCAGCCTTGGGAATAATTCTATGTTTGTATGTAATTGCAGATTCTTTAATTGCATACGCCAAAGGAGAGGCAGCATCTCTTTTTTGAAATATTCTTTTTATTCTTTGAGGGTCTCATCTCTTTTCTACCCTTCCTTTTTACTTTGTCCTTGACAATGTTTGATTTGTGACCCTACTGCTCCATGTTTAACCTACATTACTTTTTTCACAGGCTTAAAAATACCACAAAATAATACATAGTGAGAGAAATTAGAACGCTGTTGTCAGTACAATAGCACACGGCCCTGCATGAAGTCATGCCCCCTCTGCAATGCCAGAGTGAGTCTGTTCAGCAGAACCCTGAGCGGCATTGTTTACTTGTCCAAATACAAAGGTACCTCTCTTTAAGCAAATGATACTGTAGAATTTACTAAGTATATTAAAACCAAAGATGATTCATTCAGTCCAATGCCTTCATCTTACAATAAGCTCAGAAAGATGAAGCGACTGGCACATTATTAATGGCAGAACAAGGACTAGTATCCAGGTCTCGTAGTTGCACTGGACCACATTTGGCCACTGGAATTTTGTTTATTTTGCAAAATGAGCAAACAGGCACATTTGAGTCACAGGATTACAGATTTAGAGCTGGAAACTACGTTAGAGGCCATCAAATCCAACCTTTTCATTAATTGTTCAATTGTTTCACTCAAGTCCAACTCTTCATTACCCTATTTGAGGTTTTCTTGGCAAAGATAACTGGATTGGTTTGCCATTTCCTTCTCCAGTTCATTTTATAGATGAGGAAACTGAGGTGAAGAGGGTTAAATGACTTGCTCAGGGTCACACAGCTAGTAATTGTCTGAGACTGAATTTGAACCCAAGAAGATAAGTCTTACTGACTCCAGGTCTGGCACTCTAGCCACTGCAATAAGTAGCTGAATCTTATTTTAAAGGGGAAACTGAGGCCTCTCAGCACTGCTGCTCTCTCTAGTTTCCTATGTTTCTATTTGTTTCCTATGAAACTACAGTCAATTAAAACTGAGCTATTTTTGAGAACAAACAAGCCCTGATCTGGGGTCAATGAGTTCCTGGAGATCACGTCAGAGTTGTTTCTCTTGAATGGAAGTTCCTGGAGGACAGGGACAGTTTCATTTTTGTCTTTATATCCCCAAGCCTCAAGATGGTACCTGGCATATTAAGTTGTTTTTTTCAGTCACATAATTCTTTGTAACCCCATTTGGGGTTTTCTTGGCAAAGATAGTGGACTGGTTTGCCATTTCCTTCTCCTGCTCATTTTACAGATAAGCAAATTGAAGCAAAGAAAGTTAAGTACCCAGAGTCACACAGGGTCACATGGGTGGCATGAATACACTACAGTATATTACCAACCATGAGTTGTGACTCTCTTCTGACCTCTGGACTTGCATCTCACATTACCTATTCAACAATGAACTTGAAGTCTCACAGACATCTCAAACTCAAAATGTCCCAAACTCAACTTATTATCTTTTCCCTCAAAATTCTTCCCTACTTCCAACCTATTTTTGAGGGTGCCACCATCCTCCTAGGCACCTCCTATCACAATCTACATGTCATCCTTGACTCCTCACTCTCTCAACCCCTCCCCCCCATTCAATCTGTTGCCAAGGCCCTTCAATTTTACCTTTGTAACATCTCTCACATAAACTCCCTTCTCCCCTCTGACACTGCCACTGCCCTGATGCAGGACCTCATCACCTCATGCTTGGACTATTGCAATAACCTGCTGGTTGGTCTCTCTGCCACATTTCTCCACACTACAATTCATCCTCCTCTGATATATTAAAGTGATCTTCCTAAAACACAAGTCTGGCCTTGTCACTACCCTACTCAATAAACTCCAATGGGGGCAGCTAGGTGGTATAGTGGATAGAGCACCGGCCCCGAAGTCAGGAGGACCTAAGTTCAAATCCAGCCTCAGACCAAACATTTGACATTTACTAGCTGTGTGACCCTGGGCAAGTCACTTAACCCCAATTGCTTAAAAATAAATAGATAGATAGATAAACAAATAAATAAATAAACTCCAGTGACTCCCTATCATTTCTAGGATCAAATATAAAATCCTCTGGTTGGTTTTAAAAGCCCTTTATAACCTGCCCCCCTTCCAGTTTTCTTATACCTTATAGTCCCCCCTTTCTCTTATACTCATTGATCCAATGACATTGACCTTCTTGCTGATGGATAATCCATATCCAGTTTTTATGTTTTCCCTCCTCATTTCCACCTCCTGGCTTAAATCTTGCCTTCAACAAGAAGCCTTTACTGATCCCCCTTAACTCTATGACCTTCCCTTTTCAATTATTTCCCATTTATCTTATATATGGCATGTTTATACATAGTTGTTTGCACATTACCTCCCCCATTAGTCTGTGATCTCCTTAAGAGACTTTTATTTTTTACCTTTCTTCGTTTCCCAGTGCTTAGCACAGTTCCTGACACATAGCAGATGCTTTAAAAATGTTTACTGACTGACTAAGTAAGAGAAACAGTAAAAAGGATGCTATTGGTGAGAATATAGCCAGAGAAGAAAGTGGGCTGGTCAGGTGGCAAGATCAAGGTTCAATATAATTGACTGACATGCCACTGCTATCCAAGCAAAGTCATGAGAGCTAGAGAAAGGTCACTGGTACATTGGGTAGATTGCCTATGGAAGGATTTCAGGATGACATACATAAAAGACAGGATGGAAGGTCATAGATGGACTCTGCAATTTGCATTGTTAGAGAGCACCAACATCAATGAAATCACAGATCTGATGAAATATCAAAAGTGGGGGTGGGGTGGGGTGGGGACTACATTTTATGTAATCTAAGATTAATCTCCTTTTAAAGCTAATTTTGTTTTTGTAAACCTGGATTTCTATGTATTAGAATTATTTAAAGTTCAACATACCTGAATAGCAATAACAAGGTTGTACTATGTATGAAAATCCAGATTTTACAAACTAATAAATGAGATGGTGATTATTAGTTTTATAAAAGTGTTTACTACAGGATTGCTTTAAGAAGCAAAGTGTTTTAAAATATTTTAAATTTAATTTTATATGAAAAATGTGATTTACACAGATTTTAGGAACCTATCTGTTGCATCAGGTATATTCTTACCTTTATGTCAAAGGTATTGCATGTTGGGGTAAGGATTATAACCTTGAGAGGGCAAGATCTGTATCTTATAGGATTTTGTATCCCCCACAACATCTACTTAGCTCAGTGACTTAGATTTGCATATAGTTAAAGCTCTGTAAGTCTGTATTGATTTCCCTGAGCCTCAGTTTCCTAACCTAAGGGCTGTTGAAATGCATGGTCCTTGGGGTACATTTCAGCTCTAGAACCATAAGCATCGCAGATGGTAAACAATTCTTAAAGGACACCAGGAACTCAGTGAGGCAGACAACAATAGGACAGAGAGAAAAGGAATTAGGCATCAATGATTATGTAGCAACCCTAGCATCTTCTGCTAATAAGGGGTTTGGTTGCTTATATGTGAGATGGGAAAATGGCATAGTGGAGGATGCCTCCAACAGTACAGACATACATAAAGGAGAGTAGCAGAGCAACAATTCTTTGCTGCTGGTTACAGAGGAAGCAAGCGTCCTGGGGATTGTTTCTTACTTCTTCATATGGATGGTTCCGGCTTGGTCTTTCTGCTGGAAAGGATAAATCTAGAAAATCAACCAGATAGTTGTATCCTGTAGGCAAAGTGTTGAAATCCTCATCTGTCTCAATCATCTATGGAAAAGAGAGAGCAATAAGAAGAAAACAAACTATTCACCATTGGTTATTAAGATCTTAGAAATCAAACTCCCAGAAGAAAAAGCAGCCTATGTTGGCAAGGTTGGATGGGAAATTGATAATAAGGTGAGTGGTTTTTTTTGGATCCACTCTTGTGGATCCCTGCAAAAAGTTCCTATGACATATCAACTCCTCTTCATGCTTTATTTTATTTCTGAATAAATGCAATGGTTTAGAGAAGAGCCGGTGTCCATCCAGCTTTATGAAGCTCTGTTTCAATTTTCAAATTCTATGAGTCTGTAACTGAGACAAAATGGCATGCATACATGACTCTACTCTAAGGCAGAGGAAAGCCCAGGAAGAAGATGGGCTGATCTAGGAAACTCAGGGGAAAGGGTGGGGGGGAGGGGGGGAGGAGGTTATTACAAAAAAGAGACCACTCTAGGAAAAAGGACAGAACTGGGCAGAGAAAGACTGAGCAAGGGAAAGAAGAAGGGAAAAACAAAAAACAAAAAACAAAAACAAAACAGGTGAGAGAGAAATTAAAGAAATCTAATATAAGTGACAAAATAGTATCCTGGGGAGGAGGGCAGTATTTAACATCAAAATTTCCAACTGCTTATAATCATAGAATCTCAAAACTAGAAGGTCCCTATTTGGTATTATTTTCCTAAGCTAATTATATTTAAAAGTAAATTGACTATTTTTAAAGAATATCCTGGGGGAGGGAGGTGGTGTTAATTCCTGCTGCAAGAGAGGCTGGGTATGAGAGATGCTTGATTTCTGGGAGTTCTGAGCTTCAGTAGAGTTAAAGCTGGTGAGGTGTGTGTACTATGCCTGGCACCAACATAGTGTACAAATTGGTGTGTGTTTGAGGTGGTGGTGGTATGACCAGGCTGCCTAAGGAGAGGCAAACCAGACCAGGTCAAACCATCTGTAGCAGTGGGGCTGGGCCTGTGAATGGCTACTGTATTTCCAGCCTGAGTGCAACAGAGAGACCTAGTCTTCAAATAATTTTTTTTAAAAAGTCTTTTTATACAAGAGAATGTGAAAACTTGGCTTTCTTAGCTTTCTGTTTTCCAAAAGCCATGCTTTCCCCAATGTGTAAACCGTTACCCTTAATCATCTACTTACAAAAGATATTTCATCACTCACTTGATGGCAGTGACTAGAGCTAAAGGACTAGTCTACAAAAGCATGAAGACAGAGAAGTCTTTTTAAGACACACCATATAGCCCTATCTCCATATGGATATATACGTGGATTTATATAGGTATATTTTTATCTCCAAAGAGAGATGTAACTCTAAATGGTATGAAGTTTACAGTGTTCAAGTTCAACCAACATTAAGGGCCTACCATGTCTCTGAGCACAGTACTAGGCACTGAGGGAGAGGCAAGGTTCAGCTGAATCTCAAAGTTTAGACATGAAGCAGTAGCTTCCCCATACAGCTTACAGTGCTGTAAAGGTAGTGACACCTGTGGAGAACTAGAATAACCAATAACACCTAATGGGGGCAGGGGTGGGGAATGAGGGGAAAGGTACAAAACAGAGGGCTATGTGAGGCCTGAGAGGAGAAAGATCATTGCCAAGGGGAGAGAGGTCAGACAGAGCTTCAAGGAGGAAGTGGTATTTCAGCTGGACTTTAAGGGATGAACCGAAATTCAACAGTTATACAGGAAGCTATCCTGGTCATAAGGAACTGGGTGCAGTGTACAAGAAATGCTTAGTCAAAAACAAATCAGGGTGTTATAAACTAATGTAAACTATATAAAGCACAATAAAAGTTAGTAGAAAACAGAAGATACATCATAGCACTCCTTATTACCATACCCTGATCACAAGATTGTAATTCTTAAATCCAGCCCAAGTGAAGTACTCTTTTATCCAGGATGAGTGAAGAAAGATTTCATCTTCTATAGCGTCATTCAGTGTTTGCAAGTATGGTGCAAAGTCCCAAGAATCTTTATAAATCTTAGTCCCAGATGGAGGGTTTATGATGCTCTTGCTGGGAGGGAGGTGAGGAGAGAAGAGAGAGGAAAGGGACGAGTGGTGGGGTTTTGGGGAGGGAGGAGATGGGTGAGGGGGAGAGGAAAGGACAAGAGAGGAGAGGAAGCAACAAAAAGGTCAGTTTAATGATCGCGTATCAGAATTTATTTGGCCCATTTCAGTGACAGCATAAATGACTATGTTACTGGATGATTTGTATATAGTCTAGTTACTTCAGACTCAAGGAATAATGAATTCCCATCTAGCTGCTATCCAGATTTCTACTCGCATCTTTCATCATCTCCAAAAGCCAAGTTTCCCAATGTCTAAACCATTACTGTTGCTCTATTCCTCTACAAAAAAATATTTCATCACTTCCTTGATGGCAATAGCTAAAGCTAAAGGACTAGTCTTCAGGAGGATACAGAGTAGCGTTTTTAGGGCATACCATATATCTCCACCTCTTTCTCCATATGTATATGTACATGCATGTGAATGTGTTTGTGTATATGTATGGGAATATTTCTATCTTCAAAGAGAGATGCAGCTCCAAATGCTATGAAGTCTATGTGTTCAAGTTCAACCAAAGTCAGGTGCCTACTGTGTCTGAGATACCAGGTGGACCACATCTCTCCAGAACAGGCTACTCTTCAGGAAGATTGTTAAGTCTTTTAATGAGACAACATGCTTCAGGGAGCATACAGATTCCGCTGTACTATCCAATCACCACATACTGACTCCCCGAGATCATTTTATTGAGCCAGCAAAAGACTTCTAGGGTTTCTATGCTAATACAGATTGTTTATGTTTAAGTATTTGGGCACCCTGGGGTGCCCAAAGCCTGGGCCAAAATTATCTATTCTACCTGACAGGATAGGCTACCTGTGGGACCATGGGAAAGAGCTCTCTGTTGGATGGGGTTCTTCTAGAACAGGGATCCATTGGTAGATTTTGGGGGACAGGGGCTGTGAATTTTCAATAAGTATTTTATAACTATTTTGATATAATTGGTTTCCTTTGTATTTTATTTTGTGTATTTAAAAACACATTCTGAAAAGGCATCCATAGGTTTCACCAAAGGAGGCCATGATTCAAAGAAGGGTAACTCCTACTCTTGGAGCTCAAGCAGCAGAAAAGCCTTTGGTAGCTAGACTATCCCAGCTCCTTTCAGGTTCCAAGTCAGCACTTGTCTGGGAACAGCAACAGAGAGACCTAGTCTTCAAATAATTTTTTTTAAAAAGTCTTTATATACAAGAGATTGTGAAAACTTGGCTTTCTTAGCTTTCTGTTTTCCAAAAGCCATGCTTTCCCCAATGTGTAAACCGTTACCCTTAATCATCTACTTACAAAAGATATTTCATCACTCACTTGATGGCAGTGACTAGAGCTAAAGGACTAGTCTACAAAAGCATGAAGACAGAGAAGTCTTTTTAAGACACACCATATAGCCCTATCTCCATATGGATATATACGTGGATGTATATAGGTATATTTTTATCTCCAAGGAGAGATGTAACTCTAAATGGTATGAAGTTTACAGTGTTCAAGTTCA